TAAGGGAAGGTATGAAATGAAAGGGAACACTTGGTGTCCTTGGCGCTCTGCAAGGCGCGGAGCGCCAGCCCCAACACTTCAGAGGGGGCCTGCTGGCGCTCTGAGTGGTGCGCCGCCCCAAGGGGGAAACTTCAGAATCCCTTTTGGGGCGTGCTGGCAGGCGCGACGCGCCAACCTCCTTGCCCAGAAACTCGACTTTTCTCCCTCTTTTTCCAACTCTAAACCACCCTAACTCCAAAGGTTTCAACCCTAAACACTAAGGATCATCATATCCCTCAACATACCATGGATTACAACTCAAAACACAACCGGAAACAAGTCCCAAATCAACAAGAATCTCAACATCACAATCAACAACAATACCAACACAACCCAACAACTTCAACAACATAACCAATCCTTTCTCAAAATAAAAGGGGCTTGGTGTGTGGGGGAAAGGAATCAACCCACACTAACTACTCACATACCTTGATAGGGATCACCCCTGACAATATCCACGAGGATCCTTGACGGAAACTCCTTGCTTGATCTTCTCTTCCTCCTCATCTTCTCTTCTTCTTCACTCAAGCCCTAGCTTTCACTCTTTAAAATGGGACAAAAAATGATCCACAATCAGCCCAACACAACAATATAACCTCAAAAGAAATAGCTAGGGAAAAGACCAAAATGCCCTTAAATTTCCGGACGGATTCCCCGCCAACTGCCCAACTAAGGTCATAACTCACTCATGCGAACTCGGAATCGAGCAAAATCGGTGGCGTTGGAAAGAACATTCCACGAGCTATGCAACCATAACTGGAACTACACCTAACTCATCTTGAGCTAGAAGTTATGGCTGTTCATAGTTGGCCAAAAACTCACCTTTTCCATACTTAGCCAAAATTTTCCAAAATTTTCAAATTCTTTCCAAAAATGAAAATTTTCAAATTCTAAGCCTCTTCTTAATTATCTCATTTTGCCGGATGTTACAGTACAAAATGGAATTAAAAAAAGTACCTGATTGCGAAGAAAACATTTGCAGCTCACGCTAAAGTGATTCACTTTCTCTATTTAAGAGTCGATACAGTAATATAAAATTAAGTTCAACTTCTTATCCTAATTTTTTTAGTAAAGAAAAAGAGCACTCACAATTATAAGCATTTTGTAAATTCTCTGCATGTTAGACCGACTGCTACTGTTAGTATTTTTTTCACTTTTATTTGTTGTTGCACCTACAATTATTTTACGCACATTTGGTAACTTACCTGCAGACTGTATCATGTCATCATGTGAGAGGCTCCTGCTTTAATTGGCTCCTTGTGGACTGTTCGTGTAGCGCAAATCGCACTCGCCGACAGAGAAGTGCTTCAGTCCCCTCAAACAACTCTATAGCCAACAACCGAGTTGTCTTTGCATGTTGCTAAATCAAACTGGCCACATCTCTCTTTCTACTAACACCACATTAGCTCTTTAGTTGTCACTTCTTTGCAGAAATGCACCTTGACAACAAAAGAGGAGCTTATGTTATCTCTGGAAAGTGGGGCAAACGTCAACCAATTCAATTGACAAACGAAATCACCACACAATGGTAAAAACTATCCCTATGACAGGTAAAATCCCAAAAAAAAACATAAAAGAAAGCTCAATGAGCTAACGACTCACCAGAAGTTCCCTCAAGTTCTTTTCATCATTTCTTTCCTTCAAATGTCTTCGCTTCACTTCAAGACACTATTTACCAAGGAAAGACTACCTTTTTTTTTAATGGAAGAAGCAGAAGGGGTGGTTTCCTCTAAATTTCATTCGTTGTTCTCTCCTATGTATTTGTTTTTGGGAAAAAAGAGCTAAGGGTAACACGCCAAGTAGGGGTCGAACCTATGAGTTTCTGCTTAGGAAAGAAACACTCTATCCGCTGAGCTACAGGCGCTTATTGTACTCTCTCCTACGTTAAGACTTGTATTTCCTATTCTTTGAACTAATTTTTAATATATTTGTTTTATTCTTCACTTTGTGCCAGAAAATATGTTTTTCTAGTAAATAATTTGAAGAGAATTTAGATAACACAATACTCTAAAGGAACATATCATCATAAGTTAGAATTGTGCAAGGAAAGACGAAAGTCTAAGTTACATTATATTTCAAGCTTATCAATTCAAAAGTCAAGAAAATAATCAAATCTTGATAGAATGTTTTACTTAAGAAAGTATTTCATTGTGCAAGAAGATACCACTCAGTACATTGTTCCCTAACCTGGAATAGTGTGAATCAAGTTAACTTTGTATTTTAGGTCTCCGGATAATTTTAATAAAATGTGTCCAAAAGATAAATAGATGTTTATCCACAAACACTTGCATAGATAATTATTAAATTATAAATATTAAAAAATTAAGGCACTATATGTTTGCATTGAGAAGTCATGGCCCTCTCTACTCAAATTCTCGGCATTCTCTATAGGGTCCAAGAATAACTTATTTAACAAATAAAGATTATACCAGTATGTTTTTAAAATTATATTCATACAATCAATGATTGACCCAGGATTTTTGCTCAGGGAGTTCAAAGTATAAAGGAGAACTTCAGGTGGTAATGTAAGTGTGCGGTGAGCGTAGTAGTCCCTCAACATGTTCTTTGTACAAGAACCATAAATATTTCATTGGTTCATAAAATAAAGACTAAACTAATCAAATATATTGAGGACAAAGATACATTCATAAGAATTTTAGTGGATCGACTGTATTACATAAGTTAACTCCTAAAACACGTGAAAATTAAATGATGAAAAAGGGAGCAAGATGGGGGAAGAAAGATATTTACCTTATCATGCTAAATTTAACTTACTTTATCATATTGTATTAATCATTTCTTTCTACTTTTATCATGCTCCATCGAGCATTCTTAAAATTTCTTATGCTTTTTATACTTTAAGTTTTATCAATCACATATTACTATGAAAATCGTCAAGATTCTCTAAAAGTGTGTAAGAATAGAGTTACTAAAATTATAATGCATATTCAGAAGATAAATAAATAGCATCGTCAATTTTTTTAGTTCATATAGTTCAATTTACTAGGTTAGTCATAATTTGTAAAAAAAGACAAATAACGAATAAATAAAATATGTTTAGTTCCATCTACTCTAAAAATAGAATTTAAAATATAAAAGAAATTTCATGAATTCTATAAATTAATATTTTTGAAAGTATGTTTGCGATATTTAAGTTTCTTCATTCAATTACAACTAATTTACCTTTTTTTTTTTAAAAAATAAATTATATTTCTATCTCATCAATTTCTAGTTAAATATAATTCATCATTTTTAAAAGAGTTATTTAAGTTAGTATATGAAAAAACAGTTACGTTGAAACAAAATAAATAATAGATATAAAAAGAATAAAAAAGAAAAAGAAAAAGAATGTGTCCAGAAGAAAGTCTAAGCCCAAAATGTTCCATTCTCCAAAGCATTTAAGGGAGGGAAAAAATATTGTCAATGGGAATCGAACCCGTGATCTAGGAGCATTTGTTGAACCACTTATCCGCTGAGCCAAGGCTCTATTTTATTTTTAGGGGGTTCATTTTAATATATACGCATAAAATCAAAATTTGACGTTATATATACAGTGTAATTTTTTGACGAGGAGGTTCGGGTGAACTCCCTCGGATCCACGTAGGTCCGCCCCTGCATACAATCTATATTAGCTTTACAACAACATATTCCTCAATATGTACTCATACAAATGATCTATCAGCTACAAATCAGTTAACTTCATTAAACATACTTAATAGGCTCATGAACCTACCATTGTAAATATATAGTATGTTAGCTGCTACTACCTTTGTCAACTTTAGTTTAAGCTTTGAATAACTCTATAAGCAATCCCTCTTACTTGACTTGAGAGGGCTATGGATTGCACTTACATGTGATCAATTCCTCAGAGAGATCCATTAATGGCAATGACATTTTATACATATGTCACCCGTGAAAATCAATAGCCCCATAAAATCAGCAGCACTGGCATTGATACTAAAGTGCATTTTTGTTTAAATATTGAATTTCTCCCTTCTACCCCCTAATGTTAACTACATAATCGAATTCCAAACAAAAAATATATGCTAGAAATAGAGAAAGTAAATCTCTTTTGAATTATAGATTCTAGTCACCGGCTATTTTGGTTCCAACTGATAAATTGGGCATAGAACCCTCCAAGCTAGCTATTCTAAGAACTTAAATTTTCATCTGAGTTCTGAGTTCAGAGATAGAATACATGTTGTCTCTTGGACATCTAGACATCTCAGGAGATACTTTAGTTGGTAAATGGTTTCAATAATACATTTGGCATCTCAAAAGAGCACATCATTTGTTATATGATTGCTTGAATTTCTAGAGCTTCTTTGTTCTTTTTTTAATACATTGTTAGGCACAGTTTTTTAAAGATTTCATGTATGGCATTTTATAATGAATTTGTCAAATACAAAATAAAATGAAAAAATTGTAGTTGACTGGTTACATTCATTGTTTGATAAAGTAGGTATAGAAGTGTAGAACTATGAGAACTTAAAAGAAAAGGCACCAAAGAAATTGTTCTGAAGCCTTTCTATAGTCCCAAATGGACAGAATCCCTACTGTTTAATTTAGATTATGTTGGAATGTATGCGTCCACGTATATCAATGGGACCAGGTCCTCGGCACAGTTGCGAAACAAGCAGTAAAGTAAATGCTGAAGTTAAAGATTGCACAACCAACTTTACGTGGAAACCTCTTTGCTCAAAGGGAGTAAAACCACGACCTGTCCTGCCAGGACTTTTCAAATTTCTTTCACTAATCTTCTCAAGCAAAAGTAAAAGCCAGTTTACAAACTGAGATTAGCCTACTAATCCCAACTCTAAGCAATACCTCCTATTACTTAGAAGAGCCAGAGCAGATACAACACTGCCCACTAAGCTATCACCCCTATATAACTTAGATTTTGCTAAGTGGATACCATACCGCCCACTAAATCAACTAGCTCCTAGATGATTTAGACTTTGACTAAGCAGATACAACACTGCCCACTATACTAATCCTGACCGATTAATAAAGACTTTAGAGTAAGACCCTAAGTTACCCTTAACCTAGTTCTTTCAATGATTCACACAAGTTTGAAACGTTTCTTTCACAAGTGAAACGAATCCTACAATGTAAGCACTATTACAAGCAAACAAAGTAACAGCTGGTACAGGAAGCACTTGAAGCAATCGATCAGGTCCCTGATGTTTTGAAGCTTGAAATATCTCTCTTTGAATGAATGAATGAATAATGTTGTTTGTTCTTGGATATATTTAGACATGGAAAGTTATTATCCAATGAACAAGCAACCTCATCGCTTCTGATTGGTGGAGTACTCTGCAGCTTCACCAACTTTCTGACATAGACAGCTTTCCAGCTGTACAACACTTTGACCACTGGACGAGTATTCATACTCTGCAGAGGATCAGGTCCCTGCACTTGTGAGGAGATCATCAAAACATCAAGGAACATAAGCACTTATCAATTTCCCCCTTTTTAATAATGACAAACAGCCTACATAGAGCCTCACGTGAGTGTAAAGACATTCATTCAATATACACGACAAATTCCAACTTTGTTCAGTGCAACAATGTTCCCCCTTAGTTCAATGCCCCTAATTCCACTGCCCCGACCTTTACGACAAACACTTCCCCCTTTTGACATCATTGAAAAGGTGAAGCAGTAAACATATTCAAGTTAAATGCAAGGCAGTAAAGAATTCAGGGCCTTGGGCCACACAGAACATGTGCATGTAAGCAAAAAGAGAATATTAAGCCACACATGAACAGGGCAGAAACATAAGTAGCATTAGATCACAAATACTGACCACTATAGTCAGTCAAAACAACACAAAGCCACAAGATTTTAGGATAATAAGGTGGAACAACAAAACAAAACAACTAGAGAGACAAGACACATTTAGGACGGAGGATGGGAGGAATTAAAAGTGCGCATCAACATCATCATGCGCTCGTTTGCACTTTCATGGGCCTGTATCAGTTGCTTGTTTAGGGACTTAATTTCCTAATTGAGAGAGGCATTTGTCTCCAGCAACATCACATTTTTGTCCATCAACTCTTGGAGCACCATCTTATGACCCTCACTGGTACCATGTCCCCTCGAAACCGCCTTATGTAATTTAGACTTCAGTTTAGCAATTTAAACCTCCTAGTCATTTAGAATCTTAGTGAGATCAGTTACTTCCCATTTAAGAGTAGCCTGCAACTCTAGAACATCTGCCATTTGAGATCGACCCCTAGCTTGTCCCTCAATGCACCCACATTCCAGCATAATGGCAGAGATGTTGATCTCTTCAAGCTCATCAAGCTTCTCCATGAGAAAAAGATCAGCAGCAGATGCCACTGTTCTCTTTTCAGTTCTGGGCACTAACACTTTGTTGATGAAATAAAAAATCAACTGATATTCCCCTTTGAGAAACCTTTTCGATAACCCTGCATTT